TATCTATCGATCTATCTATATATATATATCTCTCTCTCTCTCTCTCTTTCATCTAATTACCTATCTATCTATCTATCCATCCATCCATCTATCTATCTCTCTATGTATCTATCTATCTATCTTTCTTTCTATCTATCTATCTATCTATCCATCCATCTATCGATCTATGTATCTATCGATGTATCTATCTATCTATCTATCTGTCTGTCTGTCTGTCTATCTGTCTAGCCATCTATCTATCTATCTCATCTACCCAGCTGGCCTCTCTCTCTCTCTCTCTTTCATCTAATTACCTATCTATCTATCTATCTACCTATCTATCTATCTCTTCCTTTCATCTGTCTATCTGTCTACCTGTCTATCTGTGTTGCAGTGTCATTCAGTGTAATGTAGTGTGGTGTAGTGTAATTGAGTGTAGTGGAGTGTACTGGAGCGTAGTGTAGTGTAATGTAGTGTACTGGAGTGTAGTGTAGTGTAATGTCAGTGTAGTGTAGTGAAGCGACATCTGAACCTCCAAAAGTGGTCCGAACCCCTTGTGTTTTTAACATTTTGACTTGGAAATGTGCTTCGCGCCACAACGGCGTGCACTTTTTCGACATCCGAACCTCCAAAAGTGGTCCGAACCCTGGTGTTTTTAACATTTTGACTTCGAAATGTGCTTCGCGCCACAACGGCATGCACTTTTTCGACATCTCAACTTTCAAAAGTGGTCCGACGTTTTGTACATTTTGACTTCGAAATGTGCTTCGCGCCACAACGGCGTGCACTTTTTCGATATCTCAACGTCCAAAAGTGGTCCGACAATGGTGTGTTTTGTACATTTTGACTTGGAAATGTGCTTCGCGCCACAACGGCGTGCACTTTTTCGACATCTCAACTTCCAAAAGTGGTCCGACAATGGTGTGTTTTGTGCATTTTGACTTGGAAATGTGCTTCGCGCCACAACGGCGTGCACTTTTTCGACATCTCAACTTCCAAAAGTGGTCCGACCATGGTGTGTTTTGTACATTTTGACTTGGAAATGTGCTTCGCGCCACAACGGCGTGCAATTTTTCATCGCCGCTTTAGCGAGCCTACTTTTCGACCCTCGGGAGCCCCAAATCATTGGAAAAACGCAGTGTTTCGCGACTTTCCTGCCTTTTCACGCATCTGCATCTTCTTTCTTCTTACTCTTCTTTCTTCTAATCTTTCTCTTCTCTCTGCCTCTTCCCTGCTCTGCTTTTCATCTGTCCATATTGTCGGAAGTTTGACTTCCAAACTTCCTTCGATTACGACTACCATCCTCAGAGCTGCTTGAAAAACATCTTTTTCGCTCTCGGGCCAACCGTCGTCTAGTTTTCTTTTCAACGGAGGTTCCAACCTTCACGCTTGCCTGCGGCACTGTCTCTTTGTGATTGTCCTCCTTGCTGTCCGCCCCTGGTTTGTTTTTTGAACGGGCTTGAAACTGTAGCAAATTCCAGTCCGTCTCGCACTGCAGTCTCGTCGCAGTGATAATAGTGCTGCCTGAAAACTTTCAAATCAGATCGCTGCTGAATTTCCATTATCACACTTTCTGATGGTGGTTGCACATCAGAATCTCTACGAAATAGCAATAAATGCTGCTGAAGTATGGCGTGTTGCGCCATGGACTGTCACTCTGTTACCAAGGCATTTTTCCGAGGGACTCCATCTCCTGTTTCTGGTAAAAGCATACATGATTTCTGAATTTTGTCTAGGGCTGCGTTGATAGATTGTCTCGCCATATTTGGTCTGCATCCTTTCTTCCTACCCTGGCACGGAAACATGTAAGTGTCATCGTCTTTGATGATTTTTTTTTGAAGCGATTTTTGTTCAAAGACTTCTGGATGGCAGGTTTGATACGGCTCCAGAACGGGTAGCATCTGTCGATCTAAACCACGTTCCCGCATTTGCTTCAAAGTTGCCACCGCATCACTGGAGATTCTTGCAACCACCCTCTCGCCGCCAAGTTTGCCATTGCCTTGTTTGTCTGCATCTTCTTCTCGTTGAATGTAGATAATATGTGGCTCATCATGGTCTGGCCCACCTTCCAGCATGATAGCACATCCTCGTAAGAGCAGCGTTTCAGAGATACGTCTAGAGGTGACTAGGCAAATCCACAGGGCTGCGCAATAAGCAGGACCTGCAAACCACAGCGCCACACTGAAATACAAGGCCAATTGTTCTCTGGGAATAAAGACATGTTGTTTGTGCGTCTTTGATACTTTGCGTCCCTTATTCCAGGGTTTTTTGGATGTTTCCTTTTGTCGGCTGGTTTTGGATCGTTTTTCCCCACCTGCCAGGTGAGGGTTGTTAGATTTTATGTCAGTTGCCTGGTCCTCCTCCTCCTCCTCCTCCTCTCCTCTCCTCCTCCCCTCGTTGTCCTCCTCCTCTCGTTGTCCTCCTCGTCCTCCTGCTCAACTGCGACTCGCGATCCACAGTGTTCTCTGTCGGACCTCAACCACGACCATCCACGCCCAGTGTTCCCTGCCGGACCTCAACCACGACCATCCACGCCCAGTGTTCCCTGTCGGACCTCAACCACGACCATCCATGCTCAGTGTTCCCTGCCGGACCTCAACCACGACCATCCCCGCCCAGTGTTCCCTGCCGGACCTCAACCACGACCATCCACGCCCAGTGTTCCCTGCCGGACCTCAACCGCGAGTACCCACGCCAAGTGTTCCCTGCCGGACCTCAACCACGACCATCCACGCCCAGTGTTCCCTGCCGGACCTCAACCGCGAGTATCCACGCCAAGTGTTCCCTGCCGGACCTCATGTAGGAAGATATGGGACAAAGAATTTGCAGAAGAAAGTTAGAAAGAATGTCAGAAAGAATGTCAGAAGATATGCCAGAAGATATGCCAGAGAGAATGCCAAATAGAATGCCAGATAGAATGCCAGAAGATATGTCAGAATATATGCCAGAAGATATGCCAGATAGAATGCCAGATAATATGCCAGAAGATATGCCAGATAGAATGCCAGATAGAATGCCAGAAGATTTGCCAGATAGAATGCCAGAAAATATGCCAGAAGATTTGCCAGATAGATATGCCAGAAGATATGCCAGAAGATATGCCAGAAGATATGTCAGAATATATGCCAGAAGATATGTCAGATAGAATGCCAGAAGATATGTCAGAATATATGCCAGAAGATATGCCAGATAGAATGCCAGATAGAATGCCAGAAGATATGTCAGATAGAATGCCAGAAGATATGCCAGATAGAATGACAGAAGATTTGCCAGATAGAATGCCAGAAGATATGCCAGAAGATATGCCAGATCATATGCCAGAAGATATGCCAGATAGAATGCCAAATAGAATGTCAGAAGATATGTCAGATAGAATGCCAGAAGATTTGCCAGTAAGAAAATGTATAAATGTCATGGTGGGGATCACACGAAGTAAAGTAATTTTTTTTGCACCCAGCCGCCCTTCACAAACATTAGTGTTTTTTGAACACTGCAACATAAAACAGACAACAAACTTAATAATTATCACCATATCACGACCAGAGTAAGAATCATATTATTGCAACATATCTAGTATGGCTTGGGATGCTATACGATGGTGTCATGTGGTATGGTATATAGCATGTGGTATGGGAACTGGCAGGAGGTTCCAACCTTAAAAAATAATTTTATTATGTGTATTTGGCCCTCCCCCTGCCGAGGAGGGCCCAGTGTCACAAGATGGAACCTGAGAGACACCACCTGTTTTTTCACTTGATCACTCCTGCATTGTTTTCAGATTTGTGGCCCTTTTTGGTCACTTTTTTTCTTCCAAATCAACTAGCAGGAGGTTCCAACCTGTCACTGCTGCAAAAGAATCAAAGGCCTCCCATCTAACACAGCCCAGCCCTTGACTGGCACATGCCCAGCAGAGCGCTTTAGCCCATCGCCTCTGCTGTCATACTGGGTTATTACCCAGCGTTGGCCTCAAGCATGTGAAATTGTGTCCCCCACCACCGGCCAACGAGGTGTCAGTTCTGCAGTTTGCTTCTGAACTGTTTGGTAAGGGTGTGTTAGTGGAAGAAATCAAGTAGGAAGAAATCAACTAGCAGGAGGTTCCAACCTGCTAAAGTTATCATGTGTGTTTGGCCTCTCCCTGCCGAGGAGGGCCCAGTGTCACAAGATGGAACCTCTTTCCCTGAGAGGCACCACCTTTTATTTTTCAATTGATCACCAGATTTGTGGCCCTTTTTGGCCACTTTTTCTTCTTCCAAATCAAGTAGCAGTAGGTTCCAACTTGCCACTGCTGAAAAAAATGATTTTCTTCTGCCGAGGAGGGCCCAGTGTCACTTGAAAAATGAGACCTCTCTCTGAAATTAAAAAAGTTTTTTGTTTGAAAATGTGTTTTCAAATGGTTTAGTTGTTTTCAAGCTCATTTTCAAGCTCAACAAGCGGGAGGTTCCAACCTGTCACCGCAAAGTAAGCAAAATTGTCATGTGTGTTTGACCCTCTCCCCTGCCGAGGAGGGCCCAAATGAGACCTGCTTCTCTGATTGAGAGGCCCACTTGCATGGAAATAATTAAAGTACACATGCGTGATTTACATGTCCGTCCTGCCCCCCCCCCGCTGGGTCTGGCACTCATGCAAAAACCAAACCAAGTACTGATTTCAAAATTAACTGGTGCAACCAAAATCAGACCATACTCTCACCATCAAGTCCCAAAAATCATTACTGTTGTTCAGAAAAGAATTGTGGAAATTCATTTCATGATTCCCTTTCTCACTCAGAATTTCCCTCAACAAGTGACTATTTCAAAATCCATCATGATTGATTGGTTCATACCTTATGATAAAATTAAAACACCATCATGTCCCCAATCACACACAGCCCGTCCCATCAGCCCTGTCCCACCAGCTTACCATCCAAATCCTCCCAGGTTAAAGAACCAGGCATGAGAAACCAGCCTGCCACACAAATAAGATAAAGTACTAGCCTGCCAATACTTTGAGCCATCGTGACTTCAGCCATCATAACTTGAGCC